CATCTACTAGCCTTAGTCCTCCTTCATCCACTCACTCTATCACCACACATTCTAAAACACTAGCCAGATCCCTTGCTCTTCTCACACACATGGAACCAACTTCTGTCAAACAAGCACTGGCCAGTCCTCAATGGCTGAATGCTATGAAAGCTGAGTTTAAAGCTTTACAAGCTAATCATACTTGGACTCTTGTTCCTCTTCCTTTCAATAGGAAGGCTATAGGATGTAAATGGGTGTTCAAAGTGAAGGAGAATCCTGATGGCACTATAAACAAGTATAAAGCCAGGCTTGTTGCTAAAGGTTTTCATCAACAAGAGGGGTTTGACTATACTGAAACCTTTTCCCCTGTTGTGAAGCCAATGACTGTACGGATAATTCTTACCCTTGCTCTTACTTTTGGTTGGTCTTTAAGGCAACTAGATGTCAACACTAGCCACTCATTTCCATAATTTGTGTATTTAAATTTTTTTTGTCTATACCGATGTGTAACAAATAATATAATGTAAATGAGATCTTAGGGTGTCGTCCTATCGGGCTTTTTGACCCTTATAACCCTTTATTATTAATTAATTACCGATTTGACCTTAATTATAAACTATTTCAAAAATTTAACCCCCTCAAAAAACATAACACCAATCTGCCCCTGTTTGACCGTTGACCACCAAGCCTACCCGGGTACACCCCTCTCTACCCGGATATTTTTTGAAAATTTTTGTATACCCGGGTAGGGAGGGGTGTACCCGGGTATTGATCTTCGCACTGAGAAATTGCTTGAACTATTTACCCGGGTAGAGAGGGGTATACTCGGGTAAATCGTCGACCACCCAATTAGCTCCCTTTCTTTCTTTTCGTCTTCACCTTCACCTTGTTGCGGATTTTATAGGTCTTGAAGATGATTGGAAATGCATCCAACGAAGTTTGCAACGAGTTCGTAGCAAGACAATTTAAACACTGCGTTCCTCTTATTCAGTATCCTCTCTACCCTCGTCTTTATTAACTCCACGCACGAGTTACTGTTTTCGAATTTAAATTCAAAAACAAAAAAAACTAAAATAACAGGTTCAAAAAAAAGACAAGGAAAACAAGAAACAAAAACAAAATGCAGGTACATAGGAAGAACAGTTATTTTATCATTTTGCATAGAATTTTGGCTTCAACAACCAGTCCAACATTTTCAGTCCCCCAGAATCTGCATATATGAAGCTGGCAAAGATGAAATTGAAGAACGGCCTGCAAATAAGAATGAACATCAAGTTATACAAAAAACAAGGATTCTTGAGAGAACTTAAACAAAAAAGAAATGGAGCTTTACCAATGAGAGAAGAATGAGTATCTAAGAAAAAAATGGGTAAAGCAGCTTTGTCCAGAGAAAGAGAAAGAAGAAAGAACTTGGAAAGGTGCTAAAAATAGTTTCTTGATCACCAAGAAGAAAATTCAACATGAAAAGCGAGGAGAATTTAGCAAGAGAGAAAATGGGTGCCAATAGGAAAACAATAGGCAATAAAAAAGAATCTATGAAATTGGCCACAAGAAACAGAGATAATGAAATATGAACAATTTTGAAAACGAGATAAATGGTCACTGCAGAATCTAAAGATTGCAACGAGAATTGGGTGGTCGAAGATTTACCCGAGTACACCCCTCCTTACCCGGGTAAATAATTCAAGCAATTTCTCAGGTGCGAAGAACAATACCCGGGTACACTCCTCCCTACCCGGGTAGACAAAAAATTTCAAAAAATACCCGGGTAGAGAGGGGTGTACCCGGGTAGGCTTGGTGGTCAACGGTCAAATATGAGCAGATTGGTGTTATGTTTTTTGAGAGGGTTAAATTTTTGAAATTGTTTATAATCAAGGTCAAATCGGTAATTAATTAATAATAAAGGATTATAAGCGTCAAAAAGCCCGTCCTATCGGGTTTTAATTTTAATTACCAACTTACAAACTAAACTACTCTTTAGACATGGATTTGAATAGAAGGCAGTTCTAACATTGACAATTATTGCATGAAAAAAAAATTGTTTTAAATTTCAATTAAAGGAATTTTGAAAAGTTTGGGTATGTATGGCAATGTTTTTAAAAAAATATTTTTATTTTTAATTTTAATTTTTTTTTGTAACTTTTAGTATAAAGAATAGGAACGATTGGAAATTGTGTTTGATAAAATTGATTTATTTTTTTTTGTTTTAGAAAATAAATAGATTGTTTAATAACAAAAATTAAAAAAAATATATTTATTTGTTTCAAGACATATTATTTATTAAATATATATATGTAAAATTGTCATGGCATTTTGAAAATTGAAATAAAAGAAATTTTATCTCTGTTTATAAATACACAATCAAATATATACCAATTAAACCAACCTCCTTTTGTCACATTATTTATTCGTTGCATCATTTGCATAGTTATAATTTATAAGGAATACTTTACTTGCAAATTGCAATTTCGCCTTATTCACAAAATTTGTTGGTTCCGCCGCTACAGTGGAGCTAGGAAACACGGACACGTTTGGACACGCGTCCGACACGCAGTTGACTTTTTGAGACACGTTGACTTGAGGTACGCGCGAGTTTGACCGAATCCGACACGCGGTCAACGTATATGGACACGTTTTGACTTTTTAAAAAAAAAATAAATAAAATTACAATTAAAAAAATAAAAAAATATTTAATAAAAAACAAAATGTCTGAACCCTATCGTCTGATCCTCTCTCGCGCTGGAGGTTGCTGGTCTGGGTCTTCTCTTCTTCGTCGCCGGTCGTCGGTCGTCGCCGGTCTTCGTCTACTTCTCCGATCGTTGGTCGTCGTCTACATCCGGTAAGTCTCTTTCCATTCTCTTTCGATTCTCGCCTTTTGGATTATTGTTGGGTCTAGAGAGTCTGAGGCTATGTGTGGTTTTTTCTCGTCTACATCTCCAATTGACGAATTTGATCTTTTATCTCATGGATGTTCAAGATTCTATAAGATGCTCTGAATATCGTTTTTTTTTTTTTTGAAATACCTGAATATCTTACATTTGTTAAACAAATGCCAGAACCTTATATGTTAATAAATATTTATCTGTTCATTCAGGCACCTCTATTTGGACTTGGCTTAAATTTTACACAAGCATCTTACTGTCAATTCCATATTATCTGCTTGCTCTATGTCATAATGGGATTTTGTTCTGTTTTACCTGCAATAGTTAAGTCCTTCCTAGAGTTGAATGGAGTAACGTTTTATAGTTCTTTTTAGATTATGAGTCTTCGTACTATTGCATAGTTGTTTCTCCCTTATCATGGTTGAAGTTAACTATTTTCCTGCCAGGTCGATTGTTTGCATGTTGGTGAATTTTGTTCTTATGATAAACATGTTGACACAACATCTTTTGTATAGTTTCCAATAGAACGATAATATCATGCTTAACTATATTATAAACTCCAATAGAACCCAGAGAAACGAACCATAAAGCAAGTATAGGCGAAAAGGACACATTGGTTGTACTTAGGCCAAAGCACACCAAGCTCATTAATTGAGAGATATTTCAGAGACTTTGATCTCAAGTGCATTTGCTGCAGAAAATTATAAAAGGATTCATATCTTGCATTGCAATTTTTTTTATTGGAGTTAATTTTTTTCTCTGTATATTAAGCTGGACTTTTGCTTTACCAATTGTATATTAAGCTGTGAAAGAATGAAAGAAGGGTTTTGGTAAAGAGTTAGGTACTTTGCCTTATTTTTATTGGTTAACCCCTTATCTGAGGCTACCGGTAGAATCCATAACTCATGCCTCCAGGCTACTTATGTGGCATTAGATATGAATGCTATATTGCTATGTCCGTACCTTTTGGGTCATGGAGTTCTTCAAGCAAATACCATGTGCTACTGCTCCCTTGTGGAATTGTAGCTTATTCCTACTTCTGGTTTCCAATTACAAAACAAGCTCAAGTGTGTACTACATTCTGTATTTCAATTTATAATAATCCCCCCCACGGTGTGCATGGTGATAAAAGTGATATGAAACAGTATTTCTTTTATTGGGTTGGCTATATTACAAATAGACATGTCCATAACAATAATTAAGAGTTGGCTGGAAATTCTAAAATATTCTTCATGATCATGTTCATATACATTACACCCTCTTGTGCAAACAGAATTTTGCACTTTACATTGCAATCACAGATTTTTAAAGTGCTCTGTTTTATACACTAAATCAATCTCACTAATTTTTTTTTTTGTTTGACACATTTATAGAATTACAAGATGGATCATTCGAGTTCTGCCTCTGCCAGTGCCAATAATAGTGCCACTGCTGCTACACTCTTGAGATGTTCTATTATTTTTTTCTTAATATTTATGTTATGAAATGTGAATATTTGATTAGTATATGAGTTATTATGAGTTTCTATATGTATTAAACGTAAATTATATTATATATATTAAAAATATTATTTAATATCAAAACGTGTCCCAACGTGTCCAAATATGACATTTTTTAGAATTAACGTGTCGGCGTGTCGTGTCGTGTCCCGTGTTCGTGTCCGTGCATCATAGCCGTGGAGAAGGTGAGATGCGTATTCTGAAGGGACTATTGATCTTGTCCTAGAGGACAATTGTTTTTCTGGGCAAGTGTTCTTTCTTTTGAGCTATTAGCCCTCTTTATTTAAAAAGAAAATGAAACAAAAAAAAAAAACTTTTCAAAACCGTATACAAACCTGCACTGAATTATATTAGAATACCTTGCATAGGATGCATGCCATGTATAGTGAACTAATGACAGATGCAAATGCACGCAGCTTTTTTATTTTTAATTTTCTTTGTTTACAATAGCACATGCATATATCTGCTCATAAACTCAACACTTAACATGAAAAACCAAGATGATAAATTATAAAGCTAGTTGTAGCAATGCACGCTCTAGTCTCTAGGTATAGGACAAAGTCCTTATTTTCTACAAACAAAAACAGAAAAATAAGAAGAAAATGCAAAACCCAAATGAGAAAGAAAACCGCAAGATCAACTAGGCCATCCACCTTAGAGTTCTGTACCTTTTCCCTCTATGTTCTTCATAAACATAATCAAGCTTAGGTACAACCTTGTAAAGCAAGTCATCCACATGCTTCCAATAAAAAAGCCTCCATCTCTTTAAGAAAATCAGGGGAAAGATGATCATTCCAATGCCAAAAATGATTCCCAACTCAACACTTAAGAAATTCCAATCAACTGAACTATGATTTTCATGTGTTGGTGTGGGAGGTGAAGGCCCATTCACTACATTTACATCATGGTTGCAACCTTTTATTGGAGTTCCACATAATCCTTCATTGCCTTCAAAGCAACTTGCATCAAATGTTCCCATTTGAGCACTTGTTGGGATTTTCCCCACCAAATGGTTAAAAGAGAGATTCAAGTATGCAAGAAAAGTTAAACTTGCAAGCTCAGTGGGGATTTCTCCACTCAAATTGTTATTCGAAAGGTCCAAGGATTCAAGATGCTTCAAGTTTCCAAAAGATGATGGGATATGGCTTGAGAAAGCATTATGTGACAAGTTAAGAACATTCAGTGCTCTCAAATTCGCAAGATCCTCTGGTATTGGACCTTCAAAATGGTTGAATGAGAGATCCAAGGAAGTGAAGATAGTGGGAATTTGTATGAACTTCATCTGCAAACCTTTGTTCACAACTATAACTGAATCCAAGTAGCGACCAGCAAATTCATTAGCAGTGATATAGTAACTGAATATGTGGTCAGCCACATTATAAGGTTCAGATGCTAATAATTTCCCTAATCTTTTCACAAGATCTATGTTGATAAACAAGAACAAGTTACTGAAACGCAAATGATTATCAAACATGTCAAAAAATAATGCCCCATATTTTTCATGGGATTCATCTCCATCACCCATCATTTTTTTCCAGCTTGTCAAGAGTGATCCAGGTAGTGTACCTGTTAAATTATTGGAGGCTAGATCAACAATATGAAGCATCTCCCAATTACCAGAGCTATGTCCACATGCAATGGGACCATGGAGTCCGTTTGACCTTAAAATCAACACTCTCAAGGTAGAAATGTTCCCCAAGAAGCATGGAAATCTATCACTAAACAGATTGTTTCCAAGGTTCAAGACTTGTAGCCTCTGGCAGTTGGCTAGAGATTTTGGGATGACACCACCCAAGAGATTTTCATTGAGGTCAAGGAACCTTAAATTACATGAACTTGAAATTATATCAGAAATATAACCAGTGAGTTTGTTTCGAGCAAGATTTAGTACCCTGAGTGTACTATTCATTCTTGTCAAACACTTGGGAATGGAGCCACTGAAGCTATTGTGGGAAAGATCAAGCAATCGGAGAGTTGAAAATTTACAAAAGGATTCATGGATATTCCCTTGTAAGCTATTATTTGAAAGGGAGAAGAAAGATAAGAAAGGGAGATACTTATCCATGTTGGGTGGGGTAATGTTGAACCTATTGCTTGAGAAGTCCAAATGGACAATATATTTTGTGAAAATAGGAGTTGATCCTTGAAGTTGATTGGAATGAAGATCAAGGATAAATAGATTAGAATTAAGATCTTCCAAGGGTCCTTCCAAATTTGTGAGAAAATTGTTGGAAAGATTCAGATAAACCAGAGAGTCAAATCTCCAGATCCAGTTGGGTATTGTTCCATGAATCTGGTTATTGGACAGGTCTAGAGAATTTAGTTGGGATTGGTTTCTCAAGAAACCTGGGAATTCCCCCAGCTTGCAATAAGCCAACAACAGATTTTTAATAGTGGGAAAGGGTGAAAGGCCATGATCATCATTGAAAGTTATATCAACTGACAAGTGGTTGTTTGAGAGGCCAAATGTATGTAAATTTTGCAGCCTCCGAATCACATCAAGACTTATAGTGCCATTGAATTCATTTGCTGAAAGTTGGAGGAAACGAATTCCTTTAAGTTGAAAGACAGACACAGGAATAGGTCCTTGTAACTCATTGCTGCTCAAATCAACCAACTGTAATTTGGAGGAAGAAGCATTTGGGAATTCATCCAATAGACCATCAAATTGATTATGAGACAGGGTAAGTTCTTGCAAAGATGGAAGTGCAAAAAGAGATGGAGGAACTTTCCCATTGAGGGAGTTATTACCTAAATCAATAGTGAGGAGATTTACAAGTCCCTCCAAATGGGAAGATGGAATGGCTCCTGTCAAATTATTTTGCAAGAGAGACAGATATCTAAGATTCTTAGACATCTGGAAAGATGGAAGTGGACCAGTAAACATATTGAATGATAAGTCCAAATGAACAAGTTGGGTGAGTTCTGACATGGAAATAGGGAGTGTTCCATTGAATTGGCAGTTAGATAGATCCAATCTTGACAACTGCTGCAGATTGGAAATAGCACCTGGTAATATCCCATTGAAAATTGTATTACTAAAGTTCATGGTTTGAAGAGATACACCTTGTAGGAAGTTTGGCAAGAAACCATGAAGATCCTGATTATCTGAAATGTCTAGGAAATTCAGTGTTTGTATTTGGAAGATATCCTTTGGAAAACAACCACTCAACCTGCAACTTTTGAGCTCCATGACCTTTAAATTGGAGAAGTTTGCAAAGAATTCTGGCACTGGGCTTGAGATATCATTCAGGTTCAGTCGAATGATTGAGAGAGCCTTGATAGTTGCTAGTGAAGAATCAATTGGTCCAGAGAGATTACAGGATGACATGCTCAAAACTTGTAGTTTTTGCAATGAAGATAAGGCATGGCACCACTCCTTCCCAGCAGCAGATACCCTTACACCATCCAGATACAGTTCTGTGATTTCAGTAAGGTTTTGCATAAGCACTCCTATATTTGGCTTCTCAAGTTTTAGAATATGCATTGAGGTAAATGATGTAGACAAATCAAGAGTGAACAGCTTTGTCAGGTGAGAGATCTCAGTTGGAATTTGACCCTCAAAGCCAGCATTTGACAAGTTCAAATACCTTAAATTCTTCAGCAAGCCAAACTTGGAAGGAATCATAGAATGGAAGTCATTGTAAGCCAAATTCAAATTCTGCAAATATTGAAGGTTGAAGAGACTTGAATTGTCTAGGCCTCCTCCGGAAATAAATTCCTGAGTCAAGTCAAGACCAATTACATGTCCCTTGTTGGTGCATGATACTCCATTCCATTGACAACAATCACCACTTTGATTCCAATGAACCAGTTTTGTAGATTTGGCAGGGTTGAATACAAGGTTGTCCTTCAAATGTAGCAACAAGAATTGCTGGTGAACAAGACAGTGGCTGGATGCTACATTGATATTGATACTCAAGTTTATCAAGCAAAAGGATATAAAGAAAGGCAACAATACTACATGAAATCTCATTGCAGATGATTTTTAGAGGCACCTCTATGGGTTAAAGGGTTAAAATGGGGTAGCTTAGAAGTAAAAACACATTCCTCTTATTTATAGTGTGGGCTAGGTCATCATCTATGACTGTTACTCATGAGTTAGTTATTTCCTTACATTGCAACCGTGTCAATCTTAATTTGAATTTCTTACCTGCATAATTCATGATGGAGATACCACATAAGAATGCCACTCACCCTTTCTTTACTAAGTAAACAACGAGTATTAGATTTTGCTTAAAAATTAGAAATATATTCACTGCAGTGTTGCACAATAAGAGATTAAAAATTAGTACTAAGGTTAGAGTTAAAAATATTTCAAGTTAAAGCTGATTATATTCCTTGGACAAGTATTTTGGGATCATTGCTAAAAAATTTCTGCTTTAAGGAATTTAGTTTCATAAATATGGGTAGAGATACCCTAAAAATAAAATAAAAATAAAAATATGGTTATTATATTAACAATGGGGTAGGATATTATAACAACCAGTTATACCAATATTACTATCAATAAATTTCACCGTTAGATCGATTATGTTGATCCAACGGTTATATTTATTTCCATCTTTTTATGGTTATGATTCCTCATATTTAATGTGAAAGTATTAAATATGACAAATCATAACTATACAAAGGTGGAAATAAATACAAATATGAAATATGGAGAATCATAACCATACAAAGATGAAAATAAATATAACCGTTGGATAAACATAATCGATTTAATGGTGAAATTAATTGATATAACATTGATAGTAACCTTAATTAATTGGTTGTTACAATATCCTACCCATTAATAATTTAACTCATTAGTTACAAACTCTTTTTTGTTGATCAACAATGGTGTAGGGTTTTCATATGCACGCAACATAGAGATTAAGAGCCCGTTTGAATGGACTTTTTTTATTCAAAAGCTACTTTTTTTAAGGAAAAAAAGTCCTTTTCGAAAAAAGTCTGTTTGGATGCCTGCTTTTTAAAAATCTAAATAACTATAACTTTTATAGAAAGTACTTTTAAAATAAGGAAGTGATAAAAAAGACTTTATTAAAAAGTCCATACAAACGCAGCCTAAATCCTAACGCAATCAGTTAATACTGATTTAGCTAATAGTTCAAGAATTGTTTTTATATAGAAGCTAGTTATGAAATAATTATTATAGGAATTGGTAGACATGGAATTTTAGCTTCATCCTGAACAACTACAAAAATATTACGCGTTCTACTTCGGTCGTTTACATGAAATTAGAAGGGATAGTATTTAAAATGAATGCAATTAGATTATTCTATTTTATTTTTTTTGGTACAATGATTATTCTATTTTTTATTCCAATAAAAGTTGATCAGTTTGCGTACTATGGTAAACCACCCGGGCCCCCCTTCAGTAATTTTTTCTTAAAATACTCAAGTTATTTGAATAACATCATTTCATATGGAACAATAACTTCTTCGATGGGGAAGAGATTTTTTCTTTCTTCTTTACCCGTTTTAGACGTTTGTCCATTCATTGACAAGACCTAAGGCTTTTCACCTATCAAATGGTGATCAAACATAAATAGTTACCGTTCCATAATTAAAGGAGAAAAATACAATAATAATAAGTGACTATATGGAATAATATCTTCGTCAATGGTGGAAGAGATTTTTTCCTTCTTTCTTTTCCCCCCCTGTTTTATACGTTTGTCCTTTTATTGTTTAATTACCTAACATTCATTGACAAGACTTACTTTTCACCATTCACATGTTAATCAAACTTAAATAGTTACCATTCCATAATTAATGGGGAAAGATACAATAATAACAATAAGTGATTATGTGGAACAATAAGAGATTTTTTCTTTCTTTCTTTTTTTCCCGTTTTAGTCGTTTGTCCTTTTATTTTTTTAAAGATATTTCAATCGGTTTATCACTTCGCGACTAGTCCAATTCGGGACGGATCCCGAGATTAAGACTTTAAACCCCTTCCAAAGACAGTATTGGAGAGGATTGAATACATGCTCTCACACCTATCTGCTCAGTTCCCTGACGCCAACTGATCTACCATCGTTTGGTTGCGTTTGTCATTTTATAGTTTTATTACCTTATGTTCTTTGACAAGACTTAAGACTTTTAACCCTTCAAATTAGGGGTGTTAACAGACCGAGCCGAGCCGAGCCGAGCTTTGATCTTAAAATATTAAGCCTGTGTTTAAGTGTGTCGGTCTTACCAAGCCTATTAGCTGTTACGAATATAATTATCGGCCGGTGGCCTACTTTATTTACAAAAAGTAAAAGCCTGATTTAGCCTGTTAGAAAAGAATAAGACAACAAAAATTTATCCAAACAGAATATACAATCAACAACACTAGTAATTCCATAAATATTCATAAATTCAATGTATATCCAAACAACATAATATAGAACAAAATCATTCAAAAAGTTTGTTTAACTAATAAAATAGGGGTGAATTGGATTGAGAGGAGAGAGAGGGTTATTATAAATAGTATAAAAATATAAATAAAAGTAAAAATTAATATACTAGGCCAGCCTGAGGGCTCCAAAGCCGAGCTTTTAAATTAGAGCCTGAGGCCTTTTTACTAAATGAGCTTTTATACAAGTCCAAGCCTGGTTCCAACAACCAATATTAGGCATGTAAGCTCAGGCCTTCACGAGCAGAGCCAAAGGCCCCTGAAAGGCTCCTGACTCGTTTATCACCCCTACTTCAAATGATAATCAAACTTAAATAGTTACCATTCCATAATTAATGGTGAAATATACAATAATTGTTGGAAATATTTACGTGTGAGTAGTGGTGTGAAGTCCTATATTGGCTAGATATAGACCAAGTGAGGACTATATAAGTGCAATAGACTCATAATTCTATAGTCTTAAGGTTTTGAGTTGAGATATGATGTCAGTTTACTTATTGTGGTTTGTCCTTTGGCCTATTGGTGGAAGAATCCTTTGCAAAGGGTTTTGGGCTCCCTTTTACCATTCTTAACAATAATAATAAGTGACTATGTGGAATAATATCTTCTTCGTCAATGGCGGAAGAGATTTTTTTCCTTCTTTCTTTTTTCCCCTTGTTTTAGACGTTTGTCCTTTTATTGTTTAATTACCTAACATTCATTGACAAGACTTTAGACTTTTCACCATTCACATGGTAATCAAACTTAAATAGTTACCATTCCATAATTAATGGGGAAAGATACAATAATAATAAGTGACTATGTGGAACAATAACTTCTTCGTTCGTGGAAGAGATTTTTTCTTTCTTTCTTTTTTCCCCGTTTTAGTCGTTTGTCCTTTTATTTTTTTAAAGAAATTCCAATCGGTTCATCGCTACGCGACTAGTCCAATTCGGGGGCGGGTCCCAGGATTAAGACTTTAAACCCCTTCCAAAGACAATATTGAAGAGGATTGAATACGTGCTCTCACACTCACCTGCTCAGTTCTCTAGCACTAACTGAGCTACCATCGTTCGATTGCGTTTGTCTTTTTATAGTTTAATTACCTTATGTTCTTTGACAAGACTTAAGACTTTTAACCCTTCAAATGATAACCAAACTTAAATAGTTACCATTCCATAATTAATGGTGAAATATACAATAATTGTTGGAAATATTTATGTGTGAGTAGTGGTGTGAAGTTTCATATTAGCTAGATATAGACCAAGTGAGGACTATATAAGTGCAATAGACTCATAGTTCTATAGTCTTAAGATTTTGAGTTGAGATATGATGTCAGTTTACTTATTGCGGTTTGTCCTTTGGCCTATTGGTGGAAGAATCCTTTACAAAGGGTTTTGGGCTCCCCGTACCATTCTTAACAATAATAATAAGTGACTATGTGGAATAATATCTTCTTCGTCAATGGTGGAAGAGATTTTTTTCTTTTTTCTTTTTTCTTTTCTTCCCTGTTTTAGACGTTTGTCCTTTTGTTGTTTAATTACGTAACATTCATTGACAAGACTTGAGACTTTTCACCATTCACATGGTAATCAAACTTAAATAGTTACCATTCCATAATTAATGGTGAAAGACACAATAATAATAAGTGACTATGTGGAACAATTACTTCTTCGTCAACGATGGAAGAGAATTTTTCTTTTTTTCTTTTTTGCCGTTTTAGTTGTTTGTCCTTTTATGTTTGATTACCTAACATTCATTGAAAGACTTAAGAATTTTCACCCTTCAAATGATAATCAAACTTGAATAGTTACCATTCCATAATTAATGGTGAAAGATACAATAATAATAAGTGAGGGTTAAGTTAATCTCATGTAGCATAAGATAGAGAATTTTTCCTACTGACCCTTCGATATCCGTGCTTGTCTTTTTCCTTTTTTCTTTTTTCTTTTAAATCAATGGGGCCCACATATGTTGAGTCTATGACATAAGATACCTATCACCTACAACATAAGAATAATAATTCCCAATAAGTGAATATGTGGATTAATAACTTCTTCGTTAGCGGTGGAAGAGATTTTTTCTTTCTTTCTTTTTTCCATATTTTAGTCGTTTGTCCTTTTATAGTTTAATTACCCAACATTCATCGATATCCCACTATATATCTCCTTGACTGATGAAGCTCAACATTACCAACATTACCCAACGTTCATCGATATCCCACTATGGCCATGAATGATTTCTCGATAAGATCCATTAGGAGAAGTAACTGTAACATTTTTATTTTTGATGACAGCCCTTGAACCATGTACTATCACAACATTTGAAATCTTATTAAAAAATAAAATAAAATCTCACTTAATGTATGGAGCGACCTCTTAACAATTGTTTAGATGTATCACTCCGCTACTTGGTTATCTCTTCCTTCAAAAATTGACTTCCTTTGTCTTCCCATGACTCGGCCTACATAATTAAATATTGATATCTGACCACTCGTATTATCACCATCATCATTTCGAAGGACTCCTCTCCATCTTGATATGTATTCAGGGGGATATTAGTATGATGCAAATTTACTTGTCTCTTCGATGAGAT